GCTCTTCCGCAAGGGCTACCAGCTCTTGGACCCTTATGTCACCGTCAGCGTGGACCAGGTGCGTGTTGGGCAAACCAGCACCAAGCAGAAGACCAACAAGCCCACCTACAACGAGGAGTTCTCCGCCACGGTTACCGATGGCCATCAGATCGAGCTGTCCGTCTTCCACGACACCCCCATCGGCTACGATGACTTTGTGGCCAACTGCACCTTGCACTTCCAGGACCGGACCCTTATGTCACCGTCAGCGTGGACCAGGTGCGTGTTGGGCAAACCAGCACCAAGCAGAAGACCAACAAGCCCACCTACAACGAGGAGTTCTCCGCCACGGTTACCGATGGCCATCAGATCGAGCTGTCCGTCTTCCACGACACCCCCATCGGCTACGATGACTTTGTGGCCAACTGCACCTTGCACTTCCAGGACCTCTTGCGCTCCGCGGGCCCCAGCGACACCTTCGAAGGCTGGGTGAGTAGCCAGCTCAAGGAGAAGCTGGAGCCGGGCTCCCCTCTGAATGAATGAAGGCGCTGGAAGGGTACCGGTAGAGCTGGGGCTTGTCCTTGCATGCCTGTGCTGCAGATGCACACAGCCCGGCGTGCGTGTGTTTGCGTTCACACAGGTATACAGCCGTGCATCTGTGCCCCCGTGCTTTAGATTTGCTCTGGCTGCTATTTCAGCTGCTGCATTTTGGGACCCTGAGAACAAAAAGTCTCAGGTGGCGTAGCTTGAGGGTCAAGACCCTGTAGCTAAAGGCTGTGAAGTCTCTTCTCTTTGCAGACTAGCACAGAGGGAAGACTTGTCATACATAACTGGCAAAGTACACCTGCAGACTCACACCATCGCCTTCCTTCTTTTGCTTAGCACACAGAGACATACGTGGAAACGTGGATACCTGGGGTTGGATGTGTTTCTGCTCAGATCTACACATGCTTGCACAATTGTTTGATGTGTGCATGTGAATTTCTTTGACTTCTTAACAGAACGGCAGGACGAGTCTTGAGTCTATTACATACGCTGCTGCACTGCTTGAACACAGTTTCACTTACAGCTAATTCTAGGCTATTTCCAAGTAGATGTCACTTTTATCCGGTCCAGAGAACCTCATTTATGTCTTAGTCCTAATAGTAAGTGAAAGGAATGGTACAGGCTCTGAAGTTGTGCCTTTGCTTCCAGTAGTGTAAAGGAGGAGGGAGTGACTGTATTGATCCAGACAGTAGTTTGCTTGTAAGTGTTATGTTAAGAAAAACAAAAACAAAACCACAAACAACATTTCTTCTGGGTAGAGAAGGTGCAGAAGAGCTGAGAATTTCCGAGGTTAAGATAGGTATTAACTTTTTGAGTCCGGGAAGTTCAGCACGCGTGGTCAGGTAACCACCACTATAAAATCAGACGTGGAGGAAAGAGAGCTGACACTGTAGAGAACAGATAGGCATCTCGATTGTATCGCTGAGGAGAATGCTGGTGCATGCTGTTCTCAGCCCGTGTCTGTGACTGAGGTGTGATGCTACACCTCTGGGGTGATTACAGGGAAATACCCATCGCAGGATTGATTAATAGGTGTATATTGGTACTATTTATTTCTTTTTTCTTCTTACGGTGTATTTAGGTACCCCTATGGATAGGCTTGAGGTTCATACGCTAAAGGTGGTCTCTTTCAGACAGTCCCTGTTTGTGTGGGGCAGAGGGATCCGAGGTAGCCTCAAACGAGTTAGCTCAGGTGTTGCTCCTGATGGCACAGCCAGAGCAGAGGTCACAGGGCTTTGCTTGGTGTGTGCATATACAGCTTCCCAGGCTTCTCTGCCACTGCAGAGAAACTGCTCTGGGGACTTCTGCTAAAACAGTTTTAAATACAGAATGGACCCCTATGGCCTGGGCGAAGGAGTGAGCTCAGGATAGAGAGCTGTGGTTTTGAAGGTTTTCTTCGTGTTTGGTTTGCTGGGGGTGTTTCCTCTTTGCTGTTGAAAGAGGCCCTGTCTTGGGAGGCTGGAGTCCTGCTTGCACTGGGTCCGGCTACACGTGGGATTGGACTGCTCTGTTGCAAAGGTGGTGGCTTTATTTATGTTACGAAAATATCTATAATAATAATGCTTCTGGTGTAGATGCATCCATGTCCAGGCACCCGCTGTTTCTTTCATGTCATCCATCTTGCAGTGCTGATTTTTTGGACTGATGCAGTCTGTGGCCTGAAATGCTTGTTTGGTCTTCGAGGGAAAAGTTTCTTAACCCTGCTGGATAGGCACCCGTTTTATGAACTCCTGTACCTGTGAGTTGGTGGGTGAAATTGAGTGGGAAATCTGAGTTTTTTAACTGGGCTGTTGTAAACTGATGTTGTATCTGGGCACGTAGATGGGAGCTAAGAGCTGCTGCTCTCATTTTCAGGTAATGTCTGAAAATTACAACTGGGGTGGATTTAGTGGGGAGTGAGCAAGTGTTCATCTTCTGTTCCTTTCTCTCTCCCCTTCCTTTTGACTTGCTCCATTAGCATCTCACATAGCGTGCAGCCAGGATCACATGATGACAGGGAACAGCATCTTGCCCTGATAATTTAATATGTCTTGATAAATCTAGCAAGGCTGTCACGAGGTTTTATGTAATCAGAAGGATAGGAAATGCTGGTTTGTACTTACCCAAGGTCTGTGAACTGCTGGCACGATACAAGACACCACAAGGGATTTGTAGATGATTTGCAACACCGGCACTATGAAATCCTTCGTGCTGCCTTTTTTCCACCCCCAAAGCAAAAGCACATATAGGCAAGGAATGAGTGAATGGAATGAGGGGAAAATTGGTGAATCCTCAAAGTTTAATCTGGTTTACAATTATTTGGCTGTGCACAATTTTTCATTTTGATTTGAACTGGAATTTTTACATTCACTTTTCAGAGACAAGGACAACAATATATTGGTAAACTCCAAACGTTCCTTGGATTGATAGCAGCCCAACAGGGCAGGGCAGCTGGCTGCCTTTGCTCCCTGAGCTCTCCTCTGGAGAGCTGAGCTGCTGGGGACTACCTGGGACAGTCCCTCAGCTCAGGTGCTGGCCCAAAAGTTTTGGTATGAGCTCTCAGGCTGCTCTGTTTATAAACGTGGATTTTCTCCTGCTGGGGGGGTAGCGGGGGGGGGAAACGTGATTAGTTGTAGCATTGGTCACTGCCTCTTGTGCGAACTGTAGGAAGTGTCAGCGAGAGGCGAGTAGGAGCAGTCGGTGTGTAATCACTGGTGCTTCCTGGGTGACTTGTAGGTCCATCACTGCAGTTATGACCCCAAATGCTTATGCAGATGAGTAAGTGTATGGACATGAACTGTCTCATCACTAATGCTTATACACCTGAGTCATCCCACTGGGTACTGGGACAGAGTTCTCTGTTCCTGGTTTGCATTAAAATCTGTGTTCCAGAGACTCTTCAAAACTGACCCTTTTTCTTCTAATAATTTTGGTTATTTTCTGAAGTCTTTTTAGTAAACATATTGGCATAGTCTAGATATTTTTAAATTTGCGTATTAGTTGTTAAACACATTTGACTAATTTTACACAGATCAGATCTGTAAGAGCTTATGAGCTTCAAGATCCTTCTGTTTCCCATTTCTTATATTTACTTGTCAAGTTGCACAGCAGTAGTTTTTATTAATATTGTCAACTAAATGCCATCCTGCCTTCAGCATGCTTTAATATAGTTAAAACCGGGAGCGATCTCTCTGGTACCACGTTCTTTCTGGTATGCATTTTCCTATGTGGGTGTGAAATCCTGCAAACCTGAATGGTAGCATTTTACACAGGTGCGCATGACCCAGCCAGGTGCAACGCAGTCGAGAATTAAGCTGGCTGCTATCCGAAAGCTGTTTATGATTTACATCAGGGTTGGAACTTGTCCTTTAAAGCGTTTAATTTTGCACTAGCATGTGCTAAGATCTTTTTACTTGGCATATGCGTCTTTAAAGGGTACTATCTCCTCTTTAACTGTCTCTGAGTGCAGTATAGGAAGCAGTCACATGGCAGTGAAACAGCATAAATAATTTGGAGTACTGAGTTGCAACTGAAGGGGAGATGTTTACAACACAAAGGGTTATTACTGTGAGTTTTATGTAGTAGCTGAAGTAATTTTTAAGCTTGGGTAGACACTATTTACAGGTACTGAATTGCATTGTTACTAGGGAATTATTTAATTATGATTGTAAAAATTGTTAGTCCCTGGGTAGGGATGTCTTAATTTCTAGGACTTTAACAAGGAGTTAAAATTAAACCTTGATCTTGAAGTAGCAAATGATCGGAGTATACCGAAGGAAACTAGATAACAGATGGACTATAAGATTAATGAGCCAATCACAACTTCCTGATGAGTTTGTTACCATTTCTTCTTGTGTGCAGGAAGAGATTAAGACAAATAATACTCATGCATTCCTTAACTTGAACTCTTTTGCCTGTATCCTTTCCTATGATTTTTTTCTTTCTGAAGGCAAGAAGAATTGTGTGTTACCCGTATTTATATGCAATTGTATTTATTGAACATTAAATTGAAGAGTTAAAGGAGAATGCAACTTCTTCCCCAGAGCATCGTGACCGTGGCAGAGAGCCAGGGTGCTGCAGGTCAAATACAATATGGTTGCTTCTTGTTTTGACTCCCACTTCGTTGTGGAGTGTTCTCCAGGTGGGCAAAACTTGCATCAGGAAGCCAAAAACACTTTATAGCTATTGACAGGGGATTTTGCAGAGTTTTTGTGTTGGCGTCAGCCTGTGCCCACCCGTAGAGATGGACCGCAGTCTGTAGAGTGGCAGTAAATGATGTCTCTTTCTGCAGGTCAGCAGCAGCCTGAGCTAAAGAGCAGTAGCAATCTGTCCATATGATTTCTGTTTCCATGCACATGACCGGCATGTACATAGTGTGGATCTCTGATCTGTGTGAAACTCACGCTGCGCGTGAATTGCAAACTAGGCTTGAGTAAACTAAGCTCCTTCCCTATTTCTTCATAGGTTTTAAACTGTTTCTGTAATTGTTATTACTTATATGTAGTTATTATGTTGAATGGAAATAGTGGAGAAAAACACCCACTGCAGAAAGATTGTTTTTGAAAGCTACCAGAATTTGGCTTCTGTTTCTTTCTGTTGGCATACAATTGTCCTTTAGCCTTAGAAAACAAAGCCTTCAAAATTCCAGCAGAGTGCACCGAGACTACCCGAGAGTGCCCTGCAGCCTAAAACAAAGGCTGTAATAAATAAATAAAGGAAAAATTGTTGCTATTTGTCAAGTATTAAATAATCCTGGGGTGTGTGATGCTAATAACAGTTTTGCTGATCAAGGCAGGTGAAAATGACTAGAGCTGGCTGTGTCATGGAGAGCTGCATGCTTACTGCCCTGTTCCAGCATCAGAAGCTGGACTCCTATTTCTCGCTTATCTATGAGCTCCTCCCCACTAAATGTCCTGTGTGGCAACTGTGACCATCCTTGGAGAACATAGGCGTTTTGTTTGAGA